TGTATACATTGTATTATATATATATATATATATATATATATATATATATATTTAAAAATAACTAAACATTTCACAAAAAGAAGTTTGTTGATGACCTTACTGTGCATTGCTGGTGCTCAAACAGGTTAAGTGCACCAACTAAATTCTTCCTGCTCTTTCAGACAGGACATGGGATCAGGGTCCCTCGCCCTTCCAGGACCAGCACCTCCGCGGCGACACCGGCTTTATCGCTGATCTGCACTAACATGCCCAGCAGGATCACAAAACATACAGCTAATCGTTCAGGAAAAAAATTCTACCGTGAGAGAATGGTATTTTATGATGTTTAAATATCTGACATGATTAAGCATAAGTTGACCATGTATTATGAAAAATAAAGTTTTTATTACATGACAATGAAAGTGTTGTGCTACCATTTCTTAAAGGTGACGTCGTAAAAACGTTGTCTCTGTGGTGCAATGAAAACATTGTGCTCCATTGTTTAAACATCAAGAGCAGTCTGAGGGGCCATTCACACAGAATGTGTTTTTGCATTTATAAAACATGAGACGCAGGACAGTGGAATGAAAAGATAATGTAGAGACCTAGACGTGTCGTCTTACAAGTTTTACTTTTTGCAACTTAGGTGCTGCATCTTTATAATGCAGTTTCATGTGCGAGACGCTAAAAAAGACACAAGCGCAAGTGTCATAACATATCTGTCTAGTGCGTGTTTACACAGAAAAACTGCATGAACAGCCCCTGAACAACGTTGGCTCAACCAATGGTGAGTGTATTTTTCTGCAAGCAACTTATATTATCCAGACTTCTATGTTAACGTAAAATATTATATTTGCTGCCATAATATTACATATTTCTGGGTGACTGGGATTTTATTTTATATTTTAGTTGGATTGTGGATATTGGGTTTGTTTTACTGATCAGTAAAACAGTGTCTTGGACTGGACTGACACCTATTGGCATGGAATGGATGTAGCTTCACGCAAAAAAATGTGATGCTATGGTAGAAATAGTCTAGCCTAATCACAAGTGTACTTGTCACAAATAATTTATTCTGCAATAAAGTTTCAATAACAGTCTCAACATGGCAGCCGCCATGAGGGAGGACCACCCTTCATGTAGATTAAACCAGCTTTTTCAAGACCACAAATGTGAATGGAGTACTTCATCTCATGTGTGTGCTTGTGTTATTATAATATTATTATACTTTTTATACATTTCTGAGTGGAAAAAATAATAATTGCTGTACCTTTAAAACCAAAGGCTAGTTGTTTATGCTAGCCTAGTTTCATTATGAATTCGAGACTTGAATTCATGACTCGGATCTGCCGTGGGAACGTGTGGATCCAGTATTGAAATTTGATTCATGAAAAAATAAAAACGTTGTTGGAACCTTTTAAATTAATCTCGATGGTAAATCTTTCGACTGAAGGAGAGCATTTGAATTTTTGGCGGGAACATAATTTAAACGCAATTTAAATTATAAGTATAACCTATTCAAAATCAATACAAAA